TGACAAAGGACCATGTAAAGCACGAATCTCGACGAAATCATAGATTAACAGGATAATAGGAAATTAAAAGGACAAAGCACTTTGAAGTCACCAGTTATATGGCAATGTACGTTTACAACAAAAAAGATTACCGCACAGGGTTGCACCCTTACGACATTATTGCTTGTACAATATTCCTTTTATGTTTACCTTTATCAAAAGACAAACAACCTCTTCCATGATTTTGAGACTGACATATAATAAATTACAAACAGGGCGTAAAGATAAGAAAAAATTTTCATACTTGCCTGACTTTCGACGTTGATATATTCAATATACTATAAACTCATTTACATCAACCAAACCACTCAGGAAAAATCAATGACCAGTTTATATGGGGTGTTTTTCTATTACCTTTATTAGGCAAAGACAACTTTGTTAACTAATATTTTAAATTTTATCTCAAGGCCACTTTTTCTAACTTATTCGTTAATAATGTTGTAAAAAAACCGTTTCAGTTTTGTATTTCTTTGAAAAGCCCGTTAAAACAAAATTAATTTACCAACACCCTTATGATCATTAATTACCACGCTTAACTTCGCAAACGAGAAAATATTCATCTTTCTGAACACGTCGTAAATCTTTACTCCCAACAACCAATTAGGTTGCCGTAAAAATATTAATTACCACAAACGACACGAACTTAGCAGTCAAGTACCTCATAATAAATGTGTTTCAATAAGTCATGAGTCGTTATCATAATAATAACTTTAGAACATTTTCAAGAAAACTACTTACAACTTATAAAAAATAATAATGGAAATCCTACCTTTTCTTCGTTGCTTTCAAGCATCACGTCTAACCAATGGTAAAATGGTCCATCTTCAGTCAAACTCTCAGGGTCAAAACATGGACCGCAACACAAAAGGGCACTCATCGCTTGCAAAGCAGCCATCTGTAGTTCTGAGCACTTTTTATGACCTTGCTCGACATCTGAACTGTTTGCAGGTCTTACGGGTGCCCCATATTTTCCGGACCATGTAGAAAACAGAAGAAACAAACTTTTCCGAAGATCTCGCTTCAAAAGTGTCTGGCATGTTTCAACTGAAATAAGAAAAATACTTTTTGTAATACTACGACAAATTATAACGGTACCAACAATGTTGTTGTTGAATGATACTTACTTGAGAAGCTCTTGATCATCTTTCGAATGAAATTGCAAAAATGAAGAGTAATTTCTTTAACAGCAAAGGAGTTTTTATCGGGTTCTGTTTCCAGATATAATCTTGCACCTTCCATGTATTCGACAAAGGCAGGGTGCAATGAAAGGGTATCACGGTCAAGTACTGAAGAGCTGTTCCCGAAAGTACCATATTCTGCTATCAGTTCGAGTACTCGTATCAATTGGAGTCTCAGGGCATCTCTTCTTCGTCTTCTGCGAACATTTTCTTGCTTACGATCAACTGCTTCCCGAATATAGTTCACCAACTCTTCCATCAGATCTCTGAAACCAAATATACAACGTTATCACAAATATATATTTCCAGAAACTTTTTATGATTACTCACTTTAGAGCTTCACTGTTAATTTTTCCCAGAGCTAAAATGACTGTATCCCTGACATCAGTCACTTCACAGCGAAGAAGGGGAACTATGAGTTTATAGAGAGCCACCGGTGAGACACTCATGCCTGGTGTCTTGTTATCGTTTCTTTCGGCACTTAAACTATCTGGCGACGAGCTGCAATGATAACAATGATATTCGTATAATACTATAATCATCATGGGCAATTTGTATATTTTAAATTTTTAATTTCAATAAACAATATGACACTTCTAGTATTAGGAACAGGTTGCTCATACATATTTAGCTATGATTTTCATAAAAAAAATCATAAAATATAATAGTATGCACGTATATCATCATCAATTGGGGCTGTTTGGATTAAAGCGTATAACAACTAATATTATTTTATTTACTATTTCATTTTTGAGGGCCATAAAACCTTTAGACAATATTTAATACAAACAAATTAATTCTGTCTCGTTGTTATAACATCCTTTATTTTTTATTATTCGTTCTTCTAAAAATCTAAAAACTAATTCTAGCATGTCTACGTGTAGGTAGATTTATCTTATCTTTTACCTGACAATGCGCTTGCTATGCTTCCTTAATGTCGACAGAGGTATAGTAAATCGACCAGATGAGACCAGTGCTTGGGCCTGTACTAAATTTTCGAGGCTCGTACTTAGATCGTTCNGAATGTCAGCCTCACTTCTCTCAACAGTTTCTGAAGTACTTCCAGAAACAATGTTCATAATACTGAAATTAAAAAAGAAAGGTGTTTACAAATGTTTTCAGTTTTAATCATATTTTCAGAGAAACCTTTCCTTACCTGGTTATTTTCTCACAATTTTGCTGACTGTAATTATTAAAATTTATTAAACGATTGTCATTGAAGTAATTAACCATTTATTTGATAACAGGTACATAATTAATTAATGCATTACTAATTATAAAAAAACTGCTAATTAGGTTGTATTATACTATTTTCAGCATTTTGTTTTACTAGCAAATTAGTACAATAAATGCAGTAGGAAATATTTTAAAAATATACCTTTTTCCTTTTTGGTCCACTTTCTTCTGCTCAGTTCCGGGAGTTTCAGACATTTGTCTTTCATACCAAGCAAAAAGGGTACGTAAAAGGGATGGCAAGCAGTGTTCTGCCACAGAGCCAAAAGCACTGAGTAATTGATCAAATTGCATGTCTTCTCCCCTTTGTAACGTCTTTGATATTGGTTTTTCCTATTTTAATAAAAGGATGTTTGTCAATTAGCAAGTGTTAACAAATATAAAAGGTCATTCTGTACCTGAGGTTCCACCATAACAGCTTCAATCTTCTTTTCTGCTTGCACAGTAAATTCAGCAAACAGGCTTCTCATTACAAACTCCCCAGGTCTCAGTTCCATGTCAATATTGGGGGCAAGAACAGACTGTCGGTCTTTTGTTACAACCCAGGGTAAAAGGGTGCCTCTGCTTACTGATGAACTGGCTGTACTGACACTTCCAAATTTGCTATCAGAATCTAAGAAAATAATGTTCATAATTATATCTAAAACAGTTGAACATCTCTGAAATCTAACCAGATATTGCAGCTGACACCAGGACAGCATTGGAACATTCTACTGGGCCAGTGACTGTTCCTCCACCATATGATTTTTCTGTCAGCCCAGACAAAGAAGTGTGTCCACTTTGAGTGTCAGACCCAGAGCAGACACTATGAGAAGAGTCTACATCTGAGTCTTGACTGGTATCTATACAGATGTAAAATATTAAAAAATTACTTTTCAAAATTAATAATTAATTTTTGACAACATTCACTTCAATTTAAAATAAGTCAGCTTATTTTATTGTTGATAAGGTTATTTAAAACAAACTGCTACTTTAAAAAAGCTGAACATAAGCAGAACAAAAAAAATTACCTGGTAGGAGGCTTTCCTGGATAGGAGGTGATTCTACAGTAAAATCACCCATTCTTACTTTTTGCTTTTATTGTCTTCTAGAAGCTCTATAAGGCATCTTAACACTCTAAAAAAATCTCAGTCTAGCAGGTGTGTAAATAAGTAAGCGGAAGTTCTTGTTTATTAATGTGTTAAAGAACAAAATCATTATTTCAGTTCACAAAAAGCATCTTACTTTTAAAGGATGAGTGAACAGGAGAAATGCTCTTATTGTGGAATGACAACACACTATTTCACACCATTGTAAAATATTAAAAATGTTTTATAACAACAACTCTCACTTTTCAAAACTTCACTTGATTTTCAAAAACAATAGTTAATGAAAATAACGAAAAAATCATTAAATCACAACACCATTACCACTAACTGTCAGTAATTGTCAAAACCGTCAAAACAAAAACATGAAAATTGACATTTGCTGTGGCTCTTTAACCTACACTCTGAATAGAAACGGAGTCACAAAAAACGAATTAATTAAATTAATATTTTCTACACGTATAAACAAACTAACTGTTTTATGGGTGAATATTCAACAATTAAACGTAGCAATACAAATTTATTATATACATACACAAATAAAAATTAATTTTCAATTTTAAATTTAAATCCATTTTAAATTATGGGGGTATATATTAATTCACTAAAGATACAGAAGAAGTTTATACTAATTCACTTATTTTCCTTGCTTTAGTTTTTATACAGAAATTACAATTTTTTATTTGTCGAATTTGTGCGCTATACAGGGTGTATACAAATAGAGCCGCAGGTTGCTGTCCTGCAACATCTATTTCTCGAAGAACAATCTCTGTTACTATAACATCTGAAAGAACTTTTACATGCTTCTTTTACTTCAGGACTAACAGGCGGAGGACACCCTGTTGGATCAAGATCTAATAAAAGAAAAACATAAGATGCTCGAATATTAAAAATCATTAATTTTGCAGAGAGTAAGCTAAAACAAAAGCAAAATACTTACATTCACAACATTTATTATGATATTGGCAACAATATTCATTTATTATAACATCACAAACTCTACAAGTTGAATCACGCAAATTTTGCGTCAAACTGTTAAATGTAACCGAACAATTAATTAAGAAAAATATTAAGAATAGTGAATAATTTGTCATTTTCAGTACCTTTTTTATTATAAGCACTAAAGAGATTGCGTTTTTTAATTTATACTCTTTAAGTTCTTGCGTGGAAAACAAATGAAGCATTTTTTTAACATTGGTTTGAAATGAGACTGAAATTTGGATGTCTTTATAAGGTCATATTAAGTATTGTTATGTACGATTGCCTATTTACAAGCAGTTCTTCGAAAATCGATCAATAATAATATCAATTAAAATTCAAAGACTGTACCCACCTACACTGTGACTATAGGCATAATAGCAACGTCACTGTGGACCTTCAAATTTCCCATTTGCACAGTATCGGCACTTCCAAGATCAATAAAAATAATTTATGTTCACAAAAAGAATAATTTATTGTACTACTGTTAAATGTGCCTTACAATTTACAATTAGAACAAATATCTTATCAAAATAATTAGTAAAGTATAGTGCACTGTATTGAGAATAAAATTTAGGTCTGCGTCATTTTTTACGACACCAGTAAGAGAATAAAAAAATTCGTGAGGTAAATTTTTGTTTTCCAATGAAACAAAATTGTCATCCATCGTTTGCTGGTCACTTTTGGAAGTTATGTCGTGAAAAACAACCTCCATCACAATAGGGGTTGAAAACATTATACTTTTGTTGTTCCCATTTTGATATTCCAGGCCAGTTTTTATCCCAGTAAAATTGAATAGCATTCCTAATACAATTTCTTGATTTTGAGTTCCATCAAAATCGATACGCGAATGGAAAATGTTCACACGAAGTTTTGTATTCAAATTGGAGCACAATAAAGTTTTATTATTTTTGGTAAAATTGCCGTGGGTTACGTTCATTATATTCCGATAGCTTTTCGTAAAAAACCCGCTAATCCAATCGCCTGATTTAGTCCGATCCGAATTTCCATATTTTCCGAAAACGCGCGTGGTGTTATTGTCATCGAAGACAGACCAAAATTGGAAAACAATTTTTTGCATGTTTCTGCATATCTCGCTTGCCGATTTGTTTTTGGAAATAATTTGTTCCTCTATTCTACATTTCAAAATCGTATTATATCCGAATTCGACTGGGGTGTTTTCCCGATTATTTAAAACGCAACGTCTATGACTGTACGAAGGAAAAGCCAAGAAATTTTCCAAATAAAATGTGTCATTTCTCAACACCGATAAAGACATATTGACGTTTTCGATTTCGGAAAAATTAAATGTACCATTTAGACGAGTTACCAGAATGGGTTTACCGATCAAATAACCCGGGTTACCGCTCATTAAATTGGAATAATTAAGCCTGTAATTGTGCCAATAAAATTTCACCGATAACTCTTGAAAATAGTCGATATTCTCGGATCCGAAAGGGTACGAAAAGTTTTGCAAATTAATTTTTAAATTAACCCGAATTATTCCCTCCTGTCCCTTATGGAATATTTCGTAAATTATTTTTTTCACGATATTTTTACAAGTCATTAAGTTTTCGCGATAAGAATAAGAACAATTGCCTTTACCAATTAATTTATCTTTACAATTTTCGAAATTCTCGTCGCAAATTGAAACCTTAGGAAAAATGCAAACATTTTTCGGGCATTTCTGAAAAAAAAATTCCATTTGATCTAACAATAAAGGAATCATAAAAAAACTATAATTATTACCGGTTGTTTTTTTCGATCCCATAAAACACTGAAAGCTTTAGGCGATGATATAAAGACCAAATTCTTATAAAATGTTTCTGCATGAATATTAGTATTATCATTATCAACTGAAGTTAAACTGCACCTCGTGGTATCATCCACCAAATATTTTACATCTTTTTTTATCAGACAAGCACTTGTAATAAACGAGTCCGACATAACTAAAACATATTTTCTGTTGGTGAAAATTGCTATTGATTGTACATATATAATTGATAACAAACCGAAGGAAACAATTTCGTTGTCTTTCAGAAGCCAAACGTTTCCACCAAATTTCAATTTTTCGGAAAAGCTTTTGTTAAAATTAATATTAATAACATTATTGTCGGTATTTGGCCAATAACGCTGGTCATCTTTATAATAAGGCTGTAGAATTTCAAGTGCTTTCAACGACTAACAGATACAAAATTATTAACTCTTACTAAGTACCAAACCCACGGTTTCAAACTATGTAACAGTTACAAACCTTTTTTTGCTTGTTGTAGTTGTATCCTTCGGGCATATTTGATCTTTCGACGCAAAGAAAATTATTATCGAAAATCCACCATTTATTATCACGATGAAAATCAAAATTATTAATCCCGCTATTACAAAAAGGAAGAATGTCCTGCTTGGTGTATGTTACGTTATTGCATTTTTCAAAGACCATTTTATCCTCATAATTGCAATCTTTGTCGCAACAACAATTTATATCACAATAATTCAACTAAAAAAATTTTTTTTGGCTTCTAATTTTACCAATGTAATTTTCATCTTNTCATTTTTGAGGGCCATAAAACCTTTAGACAATATTTAATACAAACAAATTAATTCTGTCTCGTTGTTATAACATCCTTTATTTTTTATTATTCGTTCTTCTAAAAATCTAAAAACTAATTCTAGCATGTCTACGTGTAGGTAGATTTATCTTATCTTTTACCTGACAATGCGCTTGCTATGCTTCCTTAATGTCGACAGAGGTATAGTAAATCGACCAGATGAGACCAGTGCTTGGGCCTGTACTAAATTTTCGAGGCTCGTACTTAGATCGTTCGTTTCGACAATACTCTCCAATGAACTTTTAAATAATAATATAACGTTTTAAAAAAAGGAGACTACGAAATTCGGGTTACCCTCTTTTATTTGGGAGAAATAGAAGGACCCCAAGCACCTACATTTCAGCAAGCAAGCTTTTGTGTATGATTGTGATCATGTATGCGTACAAAAAAATTTGTTATTGGCATAGAAAAAAGAGTTATTAACTGACGGTGAGACAAAACTTATGTATTCTAATAAAGTTGAAAATAATGAATATTGTTGTAGAAAAAAGATAAATAGAGTTTAATTTACAACAGAGGTGCAAGACCAAAAGATATAATAAATGTAGTTTCTTTTCGTATTTATAATACGCTTTTATGAGCAATAATGTAACTTAAAACTTATCTATTAAATTCATGAATTTATGAGTGTCATTAAACAATCCCCTAAGAAACAGGCACGTATTCAACAAAATTTAAGTCAATTTGTGAAAGTAATTAATCAAAAAATGTAGTGTAAAGTAATTAGTACCGATCAATATTTTTTAACTACGGAATCGTTTCAAAAAAGCATTTATACTTTTTATGATAATTAACTACTATTTTGAGAGAAAAAAATGAAAATTATTTTTTGAATAGACATATTTATTTGTTTCATTTTTTGTACATGACGCCCTCTGAATAGCGAGGCTGTGCACGCGCCTGTTAGGGACTTGAAATAAAGACTAACGACTAACAACTGAGAATATAATGTATGTGTATGGTAACAGTATCACAGAAAGTTGATAAAGACAAATACATTTAAATATATAACAAGTAAATAAAAATAAGTAGACAAACTGCAAAAAAGGATGTTACCTCAAACTTAAATCTGGACTTGCGCAACGAACTATTGGATTAGGAATAGGCGGAACAACTCGAAAAGCAAAAGTAACATAGTTCTTCCACAGATGAATATAAATGTCTCGTTCATTAACAGTCTTCTTCACATTGGTAGAACTTCGTAAAAGCGAGGCACGATTATCATTAACAGGCCTAAAACAAGATAAAATTTTCATAAGTAACATCCAAAAAGAAAACAAACGAATTATACTTAAATTTTTAAAATAAACGTCGAAAACAGTACTTACGTGGGATCGATAACAGGAAACAATGTGTTAACCCTGGTAAATACGATGGGCCATGAATGTGTAACGGCAGCATGACACACTCCCAAAATCCTGTCTTTTTCAAGGAACCCAAACAAACAAATACTCCACGGATCTGCAGACGTTAAATTAAACCCTGATGTATTTTTAACGGCGTTACCATCTTCATGTAAGCCTGCAGTCCACACGCAGGCACTCCTGTCAGCCAGCCATTGCAAGTCAACGTTCGCCACACTTTGGGCGGCCGCTTTTTCGGTGGCTGGCAAATGGGGAAAGCATTTCTCGATCACTTGTGAACACGATCGATCAATTACATCGATAATAGGTTGATCATCAGAACAATTGAGTGTCTTTAATAAATATTTAACGTCCTTCAGAATATGTACTGAAAGACGACGAGGAGACAAGCGAACATTACACAACATCACCAACGCATAGGCTTCGACCAGGTGAAGAACAGACGATAGAGGTTCAGGTTTCTGGGTAGTATCAAGCTTTTTTGTGCCTCCCAATTCGCGAAAAACAGATTTAGTTAGATCACCAGAATCTTTACCTAAAATAAAAACAAATGTCCATTAATTAAGTATTTGAGAAGCAAAAGAGTTTAAAATTTTATTAAAGAAATACATTTTCCAAGAAATATTAAGAGAGAAAATATCAGTTACCTAATCGCATACTGTTGGTTAGAGTGCCAGCATTCGATGTTAATGTATTCTTCCAGGCAGTCAACAGTTGTAGCAGCATCCTAAGACCATTGTCGACCAGTTGTGGGAAAGTATCAAGTACATCTCTTGCCAGAAACTGGGTGAAACCCCAAAGAACATCTTGTCGCCAATCCGGAAAGTCAATCACCAAAGTTTGTAAGCTTTGGTACGCCAAACCACGAAGTTCTTCATCCATGTGGACGGTTAATCGAGATAATAAATCGACTAGTTCGGCGCCAGTCATACCATCAGGAATTAATCTTGGAACAGCAGCCACACATGTACGGAATAAATCAATTTTTGGTTTTCGTTCGCCTGTTATCATCTCGTCCGGTTCTTTGTTAACGTTTTGAGTACTGGTCATCATCAAGGGACGACCGTATTGAGAGTCAAGGGCTCGCAAAATATCCACAAAGACACGTCTCACGTGGGGGAAGTACGCGCTCATCCCAATACTTCTAGCCGTATCTTCGGTTAGCATTTTATTTAAGAATGTTTTGCGTACACGTAAAGTGTTTCCACTGGGTAAAACTCCAACACTTCTTGGCATTGGGGGCTCGCCCTCCTTTTGTTGGAGACTATCAGCAACCACCAGAAATGCCCTGAGTCCAATACTCATACGTTCAGGTGTCAGAATAATTTTAATTGGACGTCCAACAGATAAAAGTTCAAAGACTATCTCCCTCATCGCAAAGTCAAGACGTTCCTGTGCGATAAATTGGATAATTTTCACAAATATGTTAAGGGGAGTATCACGGGGAATTACACCCTTTGACCCTTTTGGAAATAAAGAGTTTACGATGCTCTGAAGACGTGACTGTGTAGCTGAGTTACTTTCGCACTTTATTCGAATCATGTACACCCATAATAAACGATACAGGGATTCTAAAAAATAAATTTAATACAAGTGAATATTGTGTTAATAGTAAAAATTTTAAAAAGCTTACCTAAGGCCACACGGCTCATTTTGGGATCTCTATTTTTCAGGTGCGATAGACACATGGCCAAAAAATAGTGCCAATACTGAAGGAAAAATGTCTTTTGACTCACACACAGGAGACAAGTCACCAAAGGAAAGAGTGCTAAACGGTGTTTAGATTTGGTACTAGCATCCAGTGTTTGAGAATACAACATTTCGACAAAATTTTTAAGACATGGCACGTTCACTTCATTTTTCACAGTCTATAACAAACAAAATTAAATTCATGTTGTATAAAAAGAAAATGGCAAACACCAAAAAAAACTTACTGCTGCCACAGGGACTAGGATCTCCACAAACAACCCTGCCAAAGCATGTTTTATATCTTTGTCTTTAACTTCCAGAAAATACTGTGCACACTCTTGCATGAATTGAAAAGATGCTTCAAACTCTTCAATAGGTACCATTTTTACTCTGAAGAACTTCATCCCCATCAATAAGCTTATGATACTTTGGGTGGTATGAGGAGTCGGTTCTTTTGATCGTAACTCTTTCAGCTCAGCCATGAAACGTTTACGAACAGACATAAATCTCGACTGCGCAAGTGCCCCTATTACTTCGGCGTACAGATCAGCTATTATATGAATGTTGGCAGAATTTGGACCAGTCTGAACTCTAGACGTAAAGCAGATATTTTAAAAATATGTACATATAATAATATTCCTTTTCATTAATAAATTACCCCTCTCTGTATTTAAAATGCCTGAAGGCTAAATTTTCAATATGCTGAACGAGATCTTCATGACCTGGATGGAAAGATAATTGTTTGAGGACTTCAATAAGGACCAGGCAAAAAATGAACTCCACAGCCAAGTCCCGTCTTTCCTGTTGAATGTCAGCCTCACTTCTCTCAACAGTTTCTGAAGTACTTCCAGAAACAATGTTCATAATACTGAAATTAAAAAAGAAAGGTGTTTACAAATGTTTTCAGTTTTAATCATATTTTCAGAGAAACCTTTCCTTACCTGGTTATTTTCTCACAATTTTGCTGACTGTAATTATTAAAATTTATTAAACGATTGTCATTGAAGTAATTAACCATTTATTTGATAACAGGTACATAATTAATTAATGCATTACTAATTATAAAAAAACTGCTAATTAGGTTGTATTATACTATTTTCAGCATTTTGTTTTACTAGCAAATTAGTACAATAAATGCAGTAGGAAATATTTTANTTATGGGGGTATATATTAATTCACTAAAGATACAGAAGAAGTTTATACTAATTCACTTATTTTCCTTGCTTTAGTTTTTATACAGAAATTACAATTTTTTATTTGTCGAATTTGTGCGCTATACAGGGTGTATACAAATAGAGCCGCAGGTTGCTGTCCTGCAACATCTATTTCTCGAAGAACAATCTCTGTTACTATAACATCTGAAAGAACTTTTACATGCTTCTTTTACTTCAGGACTAACAGGCGGAGGACACCCTGTTGGATCAAGATCTAATAAAAGAAAAACATAAGATGCTCGAATATTAAAAATCATTAATTTTGCAGAGAGTAAGCTAAAACAAAAGCAAAATACTTACATTCACAACATTTATTATGATATTGGCAACAATATTCATTTATTATAACATCACAAACTCTACAAGTTGAATCACGCAAATTTTGCGTCAAACTGTTAAATGTAACCGAACAATTAATTAAGAAAAATATTAAGAATAGTGAATAATTTGTCATTTTCAGTACCTTTTTTATTATAAGCACTAAAGAGATTGCGTTTTTTAATTTATACTCTTTAAGTTCTTGCGTGGAAAACAAATGAAGCATTTTTTTAACATTGGTTTGAAATGAGACTGAAATTTGGATGTCTTTATAAGGTCATATTAAGTATTGTTATGTACGATTGCCTATTTACAAGCAGTTCTTCGAAAATCGATCAATAATAATATCAATTAAAATTCAAAGACTGTACCCACCTACACTGTGACTATAGGCATAATAGCAACGTCACTGTGGACCTTCAAATTTCCCATTTGCACAGTATCGGCACTTCCAAGATCAATAAAAATAATTTATGTTCACAAAAAGAATAATTTATTGTACTACTGTTAAATGTGCCTTACAATTTACAATTAGAACAAATATCTTATCAAAATAATTAGTAAAGTATAGTGCACTGTATTGAGAATAAAATTTAGGTCTGCGTCATTTTTTACGACACCAGTAAGAGAATAAAAAAATTCGTGAGGTAAATTTTTGTTTTCCAATGAAACAAAATTGTCATCCATCGTTTGCTGGTCACTTTTGGAAGTTATGTCGTGAAAAACAACCTCCATCACAATAGGGGTTGAAAACATTATACTTTTGTTGTTCCCATTTTGATATTCCAGGCCAGTTTTTATCCCAGTAAAATTGAATAGCATTCCTAATACAATTTCTTGATTTTGAGTTCCATCAAAATCGATACGCGAATGGAAAATGTTCACACGAAGTTTTGTATTCAAATTGGAGCACAATAAAGTTTTATTATTTTTGGTAAAATTGCCGTGGGTTACGTTCATTATATTCCGATAGCTTTTCGTAAAAAACCCGCTAATCCAATCGCCTGATTTAGTCCGATCCGAATTTCCATATTTTCCGAAAACGCGCGTGGTGTTATTGTCATCGAAGACAGACCAAAATTGGAAAACAATTTTTTGCATGTTTCTGCATATCTCGCTTGCCGATTTGTTTTTGGAAATAATTTGTTCCTCTATTCTACATTTCAAAATCGTATTATATCCGAATTCGACTGGGGTGTTTTCCCGATTATTTAAAACGCAACGTCTATGACTGTACGAAGGAAAAGCCAAGAAATTTTCCAAATAAAATGTGTCATTTCTCAACACCGATAAAGACATATTGACGTTTTCGATTTCGGAAAAATTAAATGTACCATTTAGACGAGTTACCAGAATGGGTTTACCGATTAAATAACCCGGGTTACCGCTCATTAAATTGGAATAATTAAGCTGGTAATTGTGCCAATAAAATTTCACCGAAAACTCTTGAAAATAGTCGATATCCTCGGATCCGAAAGGGTACGAAAAGTTTTGCAAATTAATTTTTAAATTAACCCGAATTATTCCCTCCTGTCCCTTATGGAATATTTCGTAAATTATTTTTTTCACGATATTTTTACAAGTCATTAAGTTTTCGCGATAAGAATAAGAACAATTGCCTTTACCAATTAATTTATCTTTACAATTTTCGAAATTCTCGTCGCAAATTGAAACCTTAGGAAAAATGCAAACATTTTTCGGGCATTTCTGAAAAAAAAATTCCATTTGATCTAACAATAAAGGAATCATAAAAAAACTATAATTATTACCGGTTGTTTTTTTCGATCCCATAAAACACTGAAAGCTTTAGGCGATGATATAAAGACCAAATTCTTATAAAATGTTTCTGCATGAATATTAGTATTATCATTATCAACTGAAGTTAAACTGCACCTCGTGGTATCATCCACCAAATATTTTACATCTTTTTTTATCAGACAAGCACTTGTAATAAACGAGTCCGACATAACTAAAACATATTTTCTGTTGGTGAAAATTGCTATTGATTGTACATATATAATTGATAACAAACCGAAGGAAACAATTTCGTTGTCTTTCAGAAGCCAAACGTTTCCACCAAATTTCAATTTTTCGGAAAAGCTTTTGTTAAAATTAATATTAATAACATTATTGTCGGTATTTGGCCAATAACGCTGGTCATCTTTATAATAAGGCTGTAGAATTTCAAGTGCTTTCAACGACTAACAGATACAAAATTATTAACTCTTACTAAGTACCAAACCCACGGTTTCAAACTATGTAACAGTTACAAACCTTTTTTTGCTTGTTGTAGTTGTATCCTTCGGGCATATTTGATCTTTCGACGCAAAGAAAATTATTATCGAAAATCCACCATTTATTATCACGATGAAAATCAAAATTATTAATCCCGCTATTACAAAAAGGAAGAATGTCCTGCTTGGTGTATGTTACGTTATTGCATTTTTCAAAGACCATTTTATCCTCATAATTGCAATCTTTGTCGCAACAACAATTTATATCACAATAATTCAACTAAAAAAATTTTTTTTGGCTTCTAATTTTACCAATGTAATTTTCATCTTAATTTTTTATATTAATGTACCTACCCTCTCCCTCTCCCCCCATTTTTTTACATTCCCATTTGTTTTTAATTACCCCCCTCCCATCAGTTACCGTTCTTTTGTTTTTTTGTCTCCCCCCTATTTAATTATTACATACTTATTTTTCTTTTCTTTTGTTTTTTTACACTTGTACATAGAAAACAAATTAAATACAAAAATAAAAATATTTACTTGCAAGTTACAGTTGCATGAAGAAGTTCTGTTACGACTTATTGATGTGTTTCTTTTGATTGTGGTCAAATTTTTCGAATTTTTTTTTGTTGTGGTTGCAACTGTTGATTGAGTAGTAAACTTTGGAGTTGTTAAACCACAAGAACCATTTGCAGAACAAGTCGTAGAATCATAAGAATTCGTTGTTAAATAATCATCAGTAGCTGTTGATTCTGCATAATCACTTGAAGTGTTACTATTTTCTAGTTCAATTTCAGTACCAGAGTGACTGTCAACTTTTAGTACCACTATTAAACCGATCGAAGCCCAAAAAAGGCACCAAGAGATCGTCATTGTTTTATTTGTTCGTAATATTGATCAGTTGTATTCAATTCCGTATTTTTGAAAATTTCTGGTTACCAGATTAAGTTCTACAGTCACTATGCCCATACTTTCGGTAATCAATTTGTGTCTGTCATCGAGAGACGATATTAAATCTGGGTTTTTAAGTTGGGGGGAACCCCCAATGAAAAATTGAACAAATCTTTCTTTTAAACTACCGAGGGGCCTCCAGGTATAACAATCTAAAATGTGTAAACCTGGGGATGTAGGAACGTTTAAAAATCCGTAGCCATACAAGTGGCTTCTCTTTACCCAGTCTAAATGAAAAATTTGAAGATAAAGCTTTGGCCAACCTACGAAAATGTTTGTTCTGAAGATACGTTTATTAATAACATCGACAGAGTTGAGTATTGGCAATAACTAATAAAAATTAAAAGTGATTGGAATACACTAGGCTGAATGGTTAAAAAACAACTTTGAGGCCATAACTTCAGAAAAGAAGAAGAAAAACGAATGATAAAATTAAAATTCTTACCTACAATGCCACTTATAGCAAAATGAAGATCGAATGGTAAATTCCAGTAGCAAACTTCATCTACTTCTGACGAGGAACAAAAAGTTTTCCCCTCAGCTTTTCCAGAAATTAGATTCCAGTTATTTCCTTTAACAAAAAATCATTTTAAAAAAGTAGTCAAACTAAGTACACCTAGGTACTAGGAATTTACCAAATTGAAAGCTCCAGTTACAAAATAAGTTTTGCTTGGGAAATCCTTTTGCAGTTTTAATATTTCCAAGAATATGTACCTCTGCCATTTATTGTTAACATTATTTAACATTAGACAAAAAACATACAGATTTGTTTACAAACAAAAGTAGTTGCCAAGTTGCTTGGCAACGTAACCATATTTGAACAGTTCAGGTATTGAAAACTAACACCCTGTATAATTCAAATTGCGATTTCTTTTAAAATATGTATAAAGTAAAAGGGTAGAAAAAGTCTTTACCAATAACTTATTTGCATTATCAAAAGTAAATATAGACGAAATAATTTTCAAAAACGATAAATATAACTTTAGTGCGCATGTCTCTTGTGTGCCCAGTTATATTTCGAGGTGTTAAATGTAAAATGGCCGTGAAATTTTAGTGTATGTTGTACGTGACAAGTTCGTTAGAAAGGTTTTTTCTTTGAATTATTATCCTATTAAGTGCAGTTTAATAGTTTAATACATTTACTGTAAGTACCTTCTTTTATCGTCGTTATAATCTCAACAGTATGTTATTGCTGTAGGTTCTTACACAACCTAGTTCATGAAAAAGTTCGTTAAATTCTAGACTTTTTGGAAACTATTTAGAAGAAATCTGAGTATTTAAGCATTAAAGCGAAATATCGTATATATGGTTATTAATTTTATGTCAGACAATTAAATTTTATCATGGGGAAACGTTGCCCTGAGCCACCAGTTCACGAACTTATAAAAAGACGTCGTTTAGCAACTGAAGAAGTTCCAACAGAAGTAAAATTTGACTCAGTTCTTACTGATTTATCTGGAAAGAAATGGAGACTAGGGAGCTGCATAGGGACAGGAGCTTTTGGCGAAATATACCTTGCATCTGATCAAATTGACAAGGAGGTCGCACCTGATTCACAATATGTTGTAAAAGTTGAAAGTTATACAAGTGGTCCATTGTTTGTGGAAATTAATTGCTATCTTCGAATTGCAAAGCCAGAAATGAGTAAGTCATCCAATTTAAACTATTAAGATGCAGCTAGAGGTACAATAATTGCAAGCCTTTTGTCACTTTTGATGTAGAATTTTGCTGCTTCATTTTTTTCAATCATTAACTAAATACATTTAATAAGTATGAATAATACAATTCTAAATCTAATTATACCACATTTACGTATATTAATAATTATAAAATAATCAATATTAGGAATTNCAGAAAGTTGATAAAGACAAATACATTTAAATATATAACAAGTAAATAAAAATAAGTAGACAAACTGCAAAAAAGGATGTTACCTCAAACTTAAATCTGGACTTGCGCAACGAACTATTGGATTAGGAATAGGCGGAACAACTCGAAAAGCAAAAGTAACATAGTTCTTCCACAGATGAATATAAATGTCTCGTTCATTAACAGTCTTCTTCACATTGGTAGAACTTCGTAAAAGCGAGGCACGATTATCATTAACAGGCCTAAAACAAGATAAAATTTTCATAAGTAACATCCAAAAAGAAAACAAACGAATTATACTTAAATTTTTAAAATAAACGTCGAAAACAGTACTTACGTGGGATCGATAACAGGAAACAATGTGTTAACCCTGGTAAATACGATGGGCCATGAATGTGTAACGGCAGCATGACACACTCCCAAAATCCTGTCTTTTTCAAGGAACCCAAACAAACAAATACTCCACGGATCTGCAGACGTTAAATTAAACCCTGATGTATTTTTAACGGCGTTACCATCTTCATGTAAGCCTGCAGTCCACACGCAGGCACTCCTGTCAGCCAGCCATTGCAAGTCAACGTTCGCCACACTTTGGGCGGCCGCTTTTTCGGTGGCTGGCAAATGGGGAAAGCATTTCTCGATCACTTGTGAACACGATCGATCAATTACATCGATAATAGGTTGATCATCAGAACAATTGAGTGTCTTTAATAAATATTTAACGTCCTTCAGAATATGTACTGAAAGACGACGAGGAGACAAGCGAACATTACACAACATCACCAACGCATAGGCTTCGACCAGGTGAAGAACAGACGATAGAGGTTCAGGTTTCTGGGTAGTATCAAGCTTTTTTGTGCCTCCCAATTCGCGAAAAACAGATTTAGTTAGATCACCAGAATCTTTACCTAAAATAAAAACAAATGTCCATTAATTAAGTATTTGAGAAGCAAAAGAGTTTAAAATTTTATTAAAGAAATACATTTTCCAAGAAATATTAAGAGAGAAAATATCAGTTACCTAATCGCATACTGTTGGTTAGAGTGCCAGCATTCGATGTTAATGTATTCTTCCAGGCAGTCAACAGTTGTAGCAGCATCCTAAGACCATTGTCGACCAGTTGTGGGAAAGTATCAAGTACATCTCTTGCCAGAAACTGGGTGAAACCCCAAAGAACATCTTGTCGCCAATCCGGAAAGTCAATCACCAAAGTTTGTAAGCTTTGGTACGCCAAACCACGAAGTTCTTCATCCATGTGGACGGTTAATCGAGATAATAAATCGACTAGTTCGGCGCCAGTCATACCATCAGGAATTAATCTTGGAACAGCAGCCACACATGTACGGAATAAATCAATTTTTGGTTTTCGTTCGCCTGTTATCATCTCGTCCGGTTCTTTGTTAACGTTTTGAGTACTGGTCATCATCAAGGGACGACCGTATTGAGAGTCAAGGGCTCGCAAAATATCCACAAAGACACGTCTCACGTGGGGGAAGTACGCGCTCATCCCAATACTTCTAGCCGTATCTTCGGTTAGCATTTTATTTAAGAATGTTTTGCGTACACGTAAAGTGTTTCCACTGGGTAAAACTCCAACACTTCTTGGCATTGGGGGCTCGCCCTCCTTTTGTTGGAGACTATCAGCAACCACCAGAAATGCCCTGAGTCCAATACTCATACGTTCAGGTGTCAGAATAATTTTAATTGGACGTCCAACAGATAAAAGTTCAAAGACTATCTCCCTCATCGCAAAGTCAAGACGTTCCTGTGCGATAAATTGGATAATTTTCACAAATATGTTAAGGGGAGTATCACGGGGAATTACACCCTTTGACCCTTTTGGAAATAAAGAGTTTACGATGCTCTGAAGACGTGACTGTGTAGCTGAGTTACTTTCGCACTTTATTCGAATCATGTACACCCATAATAAACGATACAGGGATTCTAAAAAATAAATTTAATACAAGTGAATATTGTGTTAATAGTAAAAATTTTAAAAAGCTTACCTAAGGCCACACGGCTCATTTTGGGATCTCTATTTTTCAGGTGCGATAGACACATGGCCAAAAAATAGTGCCAATACTGAAGGAAAAATGTCTTTTGACTCACACACAGGAGACAAGTCACCAAAGGAAAGAGTGCTAAACGGTGTTTAGATTTGGTACTAGCATCCAGTGTTTGAGAATACAACATTTCGACAAAATTTTTAAGACATGGCACGTTCACTTCATTTTTCACAGTCTATAACAAACAAAATTAAATTCATGTTGTATAAAAAGAAAATGGCAAACACCAAAAAAAACTTACTGCTGCCACAGGGACTAGGATCTCCACAAACAACCCTGCCAAAGCATGTTTTATATCTTTGTCTTTAACTTCCAGAAAATACTGTGCACACTCTTGCATGAATTGAAAAGATGCTTCAAACTCTTCAATAGGTACCATTTTTACTCTGAAGAACTTCATCCCCATCAATAAGCTTATGATACTTTGGGTGGTATGAGGAGTCGGTTCTTTTGATCGTAACTCTTTCAGCTCAGCCATGAAACGTTTACGAACAGACATAAATCTCGACTGCGCAAGTGCCCCTATTACTTCGGCGTACAGATCAGCTATTATATGAATGTTGGCAGAATTTGGACCAGTCTGAACTCTAGACGTAAAGCAGATATTTTAAAAATATGTACATATAATAATATTCCTTTTCATTAATAAATTACCCCTCTCTGTATTTAAAATGCCTGAAGGCTAAATTTTCAATATGCTGAACGAGATCTTCATGACCTGGATGGAAAGATAATTGTTTGAGGACTTCAATAAGGACCAGGCAAAAAATGAACTCCACAGCCAAGTCCCGTCTTTCCTGTTGAATGTCAGCCTCACTTCTCTCAACAGTTTCTGAAGTACTTCCAGAAACAATGTTCATAATACTGAAATTAAAAAAGAAAGGTGTTTACAAATGTTTTCAGTTTTAATCATATTTTCAGAGAAACCTTTCCTTACCTGGTTATTTTCTCACAATTTTGCTGACTGTAATTATTAAAATTTATTAAACGATTGTCATTGAAGTAATTAACCATTTATTTGATAACAGGTACATAATTAATTAATGCATTACTAATTATAAAAAAACTGCTAATTAGGTTGTATTATACTATTTTCAGCATTTTGTTTTACTAGCAAATTAGTACAATAAATGCAGTAGGAAATATTTTAAAAATATACCTTTTTCCTTTTTGGTCCACTTTCTTCTGCTCAGTTCCGGGAGTTTCAGACATTTGTCTTTCATACCAAGCAAAAAGGGTACGTAAAAGGGATGGCAAGCAGTGTTCTGCCACAGAGCCAAAAGCACTGAGTAATTGATCAAATTGCATGTCTTCTCCCCTTTGTAACGTCTTTGATATTGGTTTTTCCTATTTTAATAAAAGGATGTTTGTCAATTAGCAAGTGTTAACAAATATAAAAGGTCATTCTGTACCTGAGGTTCCACCATAACAGCTTCAATCTTCTTTTCTGCTTGCACAGTAAATTCAGCAAACAGGCTTCTCATTACAAACTCCCCAGGTCTCAGTTCCATGTCAATATTGGGGGCAAGAACAGACTGTCGGTCTTTTGTTACAACCCAGGGTAAAAGGGTGCCTCTGCTTACTGATGAACTGGCTGTACTGACACTTCCAAATTTGCTATCAGAATCTAAGAAAATAATGTTCATAATTATATCTAAAACAGTTGAACATCTCTGAAATCTAACCAGATATTGCAGCTGACACCAGGACAGCATTGGAACATTCTACTGGGCCAGTGACTGTTCCTCCACCATATGATTTTTCTGTCAGCCCAGACAAAGAAGTGTGTCCACTTTGAGTGTCAGACCCAGAGCAGACACTATGAGAAGAGTCTACATCTGAGTCTTGACTGGTATCTATACAGATGTAAAATATTAAAAAATTACTTTTCAAAATTAATAATTAATTTTTGACAACATTCACTTCAATTTAAAATAAGTCAGCTTATTTTATTGTTGATAAGGTTATTTAAAACAAACTGCTACTTTAAAAAAGCTGAACATAAGCAGAACAAAAAAAATTACCTGGTAGGAGGCTTTCCTGGATAGGAGGTGATTCTACAGTAAAATCACCCATTCTTACTTTTTGCTTTTATTGTCTTCTAGAAGCTCTATAAGGCATCTTAACACTCTAAAAAAATCTCAGTCTAGCAGGTGTGTAAATAAGTAAGCGGAAGTTCTTGTTTATTAATGTGTTAAAGAACAAAATCATTATTTCAGTTCACAAAAAGCATCTTACTTTTAAAGGATGAGTGAACAGGAGAAATGCTCTTATTGTGGAATGACAACACACTATTTCACACCATTGTAAAATATTAAAAATGTTTTATAACAACAACTCTCACTTTTCAAAACTTCACTTGATTTTCAAAAACAATAGTTAATGAAAATAACGAAAAAATCATTAAATCACAACACCATTACCACTAACTGTCAGTAATTGTCAAAACCGTCAAAACAAAAACATGAAAATTGACATTTGCTGTGGCTCTTTAACCTACACTCTGAATAGAAACGGAGTCACAAAAAACGAATTAATTAAATTAATATTTTCTACACGTATAAACAAACTAACTGTTTTATGGGTGAATATTCAACAATTAAACGTAGCAATACAAATTTATTATATACATACACAAATAAAAATTAATTTTCAATTTTAAATTTAAATCCATTTTAAATTATGGGGGTATANAAGTTGAAAGTTATACAAGTGGTCCATTGTTTGTGGAAATTAATTGCTATCTTCGAATTGCAAAGCCAGAAATGAGTAAGTCATCCAATTTAAACTATTAAGATGCAGCTAGAGGTACAATAATTGCAAGCCTTTTGTCACTTTTGATGTAGAATTTTGCTGCTTCATTTTTTTCAATCATTAACTAAATACATTTAATAAGTATGAATAATACAATTCTAAATCTAATTATACCACATTTACGTATATTAATAATTATAAAATAATCAATATTAGGAATTTTATGATATTATTTTATTAAGTAACAACATCACTTCCTTCAACTAGATATGATTTTTAATTAATAATTGCAGCTGTACAGTATTAATCTTTTTGTGTTACGATACTTTCAGTTATTGAATGGAAGAAAGAAAATAACATTCAACACTTAGGGATGCCGTATTATGTAGCCTCAGGTTCACACGTTGTTTGCGGGGCTAAATATCGTTTTTTAGTAATTCCTCGTTATGAAAAGAATCTGGAACAACTACTAACTCAAAATTATAAGTTCAACCTCAAAACAGTACTTGTTTTGTCAATTCAAATACTCAACACTTTGAGATATATTCATTCAAAAGGATACATTCACTCAGATATAAAAGCATCAAATATTCTCCTGGATAGTAACAAATCTAAAAGAAAGACCTCCCCAGTCTTGAACAAGACTGTGGTTCGTTATCATGGTTGCACCCCTTTTAGAACTTGTAAGGCTAGAAGAGAGACTTTCAGACGCAACTTACGCCCCAATAGCAACTTAAGATACATAGATGATTTTGGGGATAAATCTTCTAAAGTTGTTAGCCATAAGGAGGAGAGTAACAATCAGGCTTATCTGTTAGATTATGGTTTAGCATCGAAATATTTGCATTCAAATGGGGAACATAAGCAATTTTGTGTGGATCAAAGAAGGGCACATGCAGGCACAATATTGTTTTGTTCCCGAGACGCTCACGATGGGATGCAAGCCCGAAGGTCAGACCTGGAATGCTTGGGGTATAATATGGTGTATTGGTTAACAGGATATTTACCCTGGATGGATGACTCTAATGATCCTAAAATAGCTGAGAAGAAGAAGCGTAATTGTATGGAGAATGTAGAGGAATTTTTAAATTTGTGTTTTGTAAACGATTATCCGCGATTTTTGTGTAAATATTTTAAATATTTAACGGGACTTGGATTCGAAGATAAGCCTGACTACGGATATTGCGCGGATTTGTTTCACGGCGCGATAAAAGAGTACGGTTACAAGGACAACATGTGTTTCGATTTTGACAACCTTGAAGGCTGGGGACGCAAGCAGAAAATAACAAACAACCGGAACAACACGCTGGAAAAGAAAAACAAGATCATCAGGAGACAAAAGATTATGTTCAAGGTGGTGCGCAGTCCTCTGCGTTCCAACTTGCCCATCTTACGTAAACGGTTGAAGGTCAAGACGAAGACACCCAGAAAAATCAGATGGCCGAAGATGCTCCTCGATCCAGAAACTATAATGAAACAGGGAAAGTGTCGCGAGAGGCGGACTACGGAAACAACAGACTCAGGTTCTGTGGCTGGAATTCATAATCTGAACATAGAAGAACTCAATCCCACCCCGACGATGGTGGAAGTATACAATAAATCGATTGAGAGGATCAATTCAGCAAATGGCTCTTCCCCAACTTATAAAGGAGATGTGTAAGTAATATTCCAGTTTAGAGTTATTGAATTATGTCAAAAAATAATTATCCCCTCACTTCAATGATTAAGGCGTATGTTGATTCAGTTTTCTGTGTATAGTAATTATGACAACATCGAGGGTTATACTCCTGCAATGATGGCTGTGTTTAATCGTAAGAAAGAACGTGAAGAGATGGAGGCAGAGCAATTGATGTTACTTAACTCGAAGACGAGCAGCAGAGCCGCATCGAGACAAAGAAGAAGACCCATTTCTGCTTCTTCCAATACAAAAACTAAACGTCAAGATGTTCCTGTGCGTAACGTGAAATCTCAAAACGCGGTTAGAACAGGTAAAATACATTTTCTTTCCTAAACACATTTCTAATTAACTTTTACAGTAAAAAGATTACAAGTTCTAATCAGAATATACATGCAAGTACATACATAAGAAATTTTCCAAGTGTATTTTGAATTATTTTGTGTTTGATTTAGGCTAATGAAATCTTAAGTGATACATTCGAAAACTGCCAATAAATTGCTTTTTCATTCGAATCAAAAGAAATAATTAGAAAATTTTGTTTTAGCTTTCATTTTAGAATCGTTCACTCTATTCGCTGCAAGTGTAAGAAAATATAGAACGGTATGTAAAGGGCCGATTTAGGTTTAAGAACGCACATGTGGATGTGAGTATGAAAGATTTTTTTAAAATCATGAATGAGCGAATGTACTCTCATTCATAATATACATGTTATTGCAGGAACAAATTTTTTCGGTGTCTACATAAACCTTTTTCATGTGGGGCACAATTTACACTGTAGAGGTAGGTTTAAATAACGGGAATGCAGTTTTCGAATTTTTGTCACTTAGGATATTATTTTCACTGTTAAAAGTGAAAGATGATCGTTTTATGCATAATTATATTGTTTCTATTCACTCTACACAAGGAAAATTTCTTTTTTTGTCTGTTTCTCTTAAAGGGTCTTAAATTGGTAAGAAATTAGTAATATGTAGACCAGAAGTTGCGTAGAACGGGTAAGTGAACAGTTCAAGTTTGAACACAATATTTGATTTTATGAAATAATTTTCTTTCTTTTTCATGTAGACAGAAATATCCTTTTAATTTATTATACAATGGCCTTTTTTACAGTACATCCGAAAGTTTCTCTTAAATCACTTATAATTATTTTGTTATTTCAGGTAGGCAAATGACATCGAATCATGGAGTAAAACTTTTTTAATAACATTTGTTTAATTGTTTTCTTTTTATTAATTAATTAGTTAATTTTTTGTCCTTTATTTATTTTTTTTTGTATTTTTAGTTGGTAAAAAGGAGAATCCTAAAAAGGCAAAAACTACTATAAGGAGGATTTATAGCTTAAGGGGCTAAATTCGTCAAATCATCATCGAACTGTTATTAGATAATTACGAAGGTTTATATAATCGAATTAAAGCGCATAAGCGTACAGTCCAAAAGTAACAGTTTCCATTTTGAGGTATTTCTATGCATTTACAACTCTAGAGTAAAAAAAAAATACCTATCAAGATGTTTTCGAAATGTGTAATTCTTTAATTAGTATATTTAGATGCTACTAATTGTAAACTATCGGCCGCATCACTCAGCTTATAAACAATACAAATCATGTAATTTAAGAGCAGCCTGTTATTATTTTTTATTTTTAATATATATAATTTTTTTTAAGTACCTGACAAAAGGACCCCAATAGCGAAAATAGTAAATTATTGGCAGCTAAAAAGAATTAATATTTTTTTATTGTTATTCACTTCGTTAGTAGCTAGCACGATATATTAATTCAAGTGTCCTACTTATTAATTTAAATCCGTTTTGTTCGTTTAATTAAATTGTTTGTTCATATGAATGTATTTTTTAAGGGGCATTGCCTTTTACTCTGCGTTTCTGTTATCTAAACTGTGAAATTAACGTTTTTATAATTTGAATAAAAAATATATAATAGATGTTGTTAGTGTTGGTAACAATATCTATTATATTTCAATGTTATATGATTAATTCTTGTAGTAATGCATAAATAGGAGACTATTCAATCAGGTGTTTTCTGTTTAACGATCTTAATTTTTATAGAAAAGTATTACTTTATTTTGATCGAACAAATGTGTCGGGTGATTAATTCTTGTGGTATAAAATAAAATTTGTTAATACAATAATCTCAATAATGTCTTTCAAGGAATGAATCACTTTGTACAGATTCATTTAAATGTGTGACATGCATACTGAATTATGTTTATAAATGCTTTTGTATATGTTGTGATACTGTGATTTCTTATAGAATAAATAAAGCAGTTTTTTATATTTTTTATTTTTACTTTTTAACTCTTTCGTTCCTATTTTAATAAGCAAAGATCATTAAATTATTTTAATGTAATTTAGCGTGCTTTTCCGTATTTACAAATGTAATAATAAGTAAAGAACAAATCAAAAATGGGCAGTTAGTTTTTGTATTTCCGACAAGTCTTCTATTATCTCCTCAGTTTTTGTGCCTATCTTTTTAGAAACCTGGCGAAAAAGTGCATTGGAACAAACATCAAAAATAATCATAAAGAAAATAATTACTTACCTCCATTTTTTCATTAATCGATAAACTAATAAAACGCCACACAAGTTCCCCATCAATAATCGATCGACAGGGGTTTGAAAGTTGTCTTCTCCAACTTTTATACGTCCTGAAAATAAGTAAACATACAAAACATTTACAAGTTAAAAACAACTTGCGATTTTATTACCTAAACGCTTTTGGATTTAAACCAGCAGTATGAGAGCTGTGAGTAACCAAAACATTTTGCAACATTAGAAGCCTTCTATAAGTTTTTTCTGCTATAGGTAGTAAATATCCCAAACTACCGTCAAGGGTTGCTAAAGTAATAGTTATATATAGATAAAAATATTACTGGCACGTATTTAAAAAATTACTTACCAAACATGGTAATATGCCTTTTTTCGATACCTGATAACTGTTTTCTATCTTCCATCAATTCACCCATTTTGCAACGGATTCTAAAGAAAGTGTTAACTGCTTGACCCAGGTGAAAATCGCCCTTTCTTAAAAGTCTCTGACCTAAAAAAAACTCATTAGCATAGTGCTATTGTAAGCAATGTTTATTTTATTTGCCTCCATAAGATTCTCGTGCTTCAGGTTGGTACATGTACAATATTAAATTCTTTTCCGAATCAGAAACTAGGAATCCCATGTTGGTGTTATCTATCATGTACTGCAATGAGTATATTTCGCTTGCTTTAAAATCCTACAAGTTCAAACACTTACAATTCCACAGAAAAAAAATAAGTCCTTAAATTTACCCTAGATACTAGAGAAAGTGTCCTGTACTCCTCTTGGAACCTTAATAAGGAAATTGACTTATAAACGTCTGCCACAAGAAGTAAACTTTTAACAGATAAAATTTGGTGAGTATAAATTTGTGTATCTATAAAAGCCACCCCCACCAAATCGTTATCTTTCAGTTGCCAGATATAAATCTAAAATATAATTATAATTAAATTTTAAAAGGAAAAATGTATTATCACGTGAAAACGAGACCTTTTGTCCCACTGCTGAAACAAGAAACCCTGAAACATGGGACAGAGCTGTAACAGGACCTTTTTGTTCCTTAGCATATATTTCTTTGAATTTATTCTTTGTTAGGGGTTGTCCAGGTTCAGGTACGACTTCAATAATATCGTAAATTAAAATCTACAAGAACATTTCCTCATACATTTTAATTTAAAATTAATTTTTTAGTTTTCTTACCCTTCCCCTTGACGTAACATCCTCTCCATAATTATAATTGGTTCCTAACACCACGTACCCTTTTAATCCCGATCTAGTACCTTCGTAAGCTAAAGAAACATTCTTAAGACAAGTGATGTGTTCCCATTCATCCAAATCCATTCGAGTATTCGGAATTACGTCCCAAGATACAGGGGAAAACAACATTATACTGAACTTTTCTTGGAGAGGATACGGAAATCTGGAATGATTTAAAATTTTCCATTAAATTTGTCGGAAAATGAAAATAATAAATTAAGAATCACCTGTCGCCTCTGTCTTCTACAGAGAGTTCTTTATCTTCTCCGTTAAATTTATAATACTGTTTTGAGGGCTCTGATGCACTTGTTACTATGCAGTAAGTTTTTGATTCGAGATGGTATTCTATGAAATGGGGAGTGCATCGAAGTGGAACTTTTCTAACTGGCCAAGCTGCGTCATAACTTAAATGAGTTGGAAGAACACCAATACGAAGTTCAGACTAAAATACGTAAAAGTAGATTTTGCAAAAGCTTTTTCTAAAGTTTGCACTGATTACCTTTTTATTAAAATAGAGAAACCCCTGAGGACAATTTACGTTGTTAAACGAAGCGAAACAAAAAATTTCACCATCGATAGTCATAGGATGAGTTCTCAGTTCACCCCTGCCTGTTAAGAACAACCAATGGGGCTTGGCACCACACACAAAAACTCCATTGTATCCTATAATTATTTAGGTAATATAGTAAGGAAATAGACAAATTTTAAATTAGTGTTTATAATGTAAAAAAGTAAAGTAACTTACCAGCTATATTTCCGAACGGTCTTATCTTCGAAACCCTTTCTTGTAATGCAAAGAAATCAGAGTTTTCTGTTTCCACCTGATTCGAAGTGTCACAGGAATAAATAATATTGTGATTCAGTTTTCGAAAACGTAATTTCAAATTTCCACGAGTAAATCTGAACGCTTCGTAGATATAAAAGTCTTTTTCTAATCTTACCAACAAAAGTGGACGGGAGCCTTTATTTCCCAAAGCAATCATCGAAATTTCCTTGATCTCATGTTCCTTTTGCAATGCTATTTCGTTCATGATCATTGCAGGATTAGTAGCGAGCATGGGCACCGACTCCAAATTATCCACCAAAACCTTATAACCAAAGCAGAGGTTACGCACAATGAACGAAAGTTTAAATTCTGGCACCGAATAAATTTCCAGATTCGAATTTTCGCGTACGACAAGTAACCAATACGTCGGTCTGAATTCGACAAAGTACTTTTTCCACCAGTTGAAAAAGACTTTAGGTTTAGGGGGCGGAGGATTCAAAGATGGCATTTTAAAGTCGCTGTTGTCTCCATAAAGAAGATCTTCTTCGTTTTCTACCTCGGATTTAGTTTCTTGTTCTTTTACCAGGTGAGAGGGTACATGTAGGAAGTCTTCAGGAACTTTACTTGTAAATAATCCCGAACTGTCACGATATAGGCATAAAGTTGTTACTGCAGGAATCTATTAGGAGTTAAAAATATTAAAAAAAAAAATAAACACTGTACTACTAAGAAGAAAATCACTCTGCACTTACGTTTGAAAGAGTAGATTTACTGACGACAAGCCTGGCACTTCCTCGAGACTCCCTTAACATTAGGGTTATTACCTGACCATCTGAAGTTAAAATTGCTAAATAGGGATCGGCGCTGGAAGCATGAACTATGGGAGAGCCCAGATCCAAAGGAATATGTTGCAATTGGTTAGCTCCTATACAATTAGTAGAATTATTCTTTTGTAATTTCAACATACTGGATATTACCTTGCAGTAATCGAACTGCAGCTGTTGTAACTTGTACTATATACTTATTATTTCCTAAATTAGCAGCATAAACTGTAGGATCAGTAGTACAGAAACCTGTATTGTCTATTTCGTTGATTTCATGTCCTGTTTGGAGAATCTAGAAAGTAGAGAATAAAAAAAATCGAACAATAGATTTAGTACAAAACAGAAAAACGTATATTGCAATACCATGGTGCCATCTTCTTGACTAAGTATAAGGAACCCATGATGTTCTTCGTTGGCGTATACAGTCCACATGTTTATGCAACCAGGAAGGGTGAATGTGGTGACGATTTGCGGTCGTACAGAGCGTTGGAGTACGCACAGAGCTCCGTTCTTTCCGTAACCTGATGTTGTTACTAGTTCCAAATCCAAATCCGGATTGTGTATAAATTCTTCACTCATAAAAGCCGGTTCTCCAATGGAAGCGTTACCACAAGGTCCGATATTTAATAAACTATCACATACCTTAGGAAAAAAGCACTAATGAGTAATTTAATTAATTTTTTCGAGTATCTAATTTTTAACTTGGTAGAACTATGGAAAAATTTACCTCAAAAACAAAACTTGTGATGTGTAAACTGGTTTGTTTTTCGCTACCATACACTTCAAGCTCTTCTGGGTCTCTAATATCCATAACATCACTTGCCATGCAATCGTTTAAAGAGTCTAATACCCGCTCAGGTTCTGAAGTAGAATTTGTGTCTTCAGTGCCGTCATTTTTGGCCCGTTTGGTAGGGGGCTCGTCATCATCTAAAGTTATTATCTGATTATCTTTTTCTGTGTATCTCAATAAAAGAGAATTTCCAAGGCGAGAGCCCAAGAACAAAAAATTATCTTCACAAATACAAATCTAAAAGTTCTAAATTGTTTTAAATCCTTCAGAGAATATTTAATTAGACATACGCAAGTTGTAAGCACGCTAGAAGCAGCTTTATCAAAATGGAAACTTCTCACATATCTCATTGTATCTGCTATTAAAGTTAGAACATACAATTCGCCCCCTTTCAATGAGAAAACTAACTGGTCATCAGATAGGAAAGCTACTTGGGCACAATCTAGACTTACGCATACATTTTCTTGAGGTTCTTGAATAGAAAAAAAAGTAATTGTTTTAAGTTAATTTAAATCAAATCATCCTACTCTTACTTAGTGGAAAGCTTGTACTACTTTCTGCAATGCTGTTCAAAGAAACTCCATAAGGTGGAATGCTTTGATTTAAATAAATTAAAGCATTCACAGACATAATCAAAGTACCCCCAAGAGGTTTTTTAATGGGAATTGCATGAATACAGTCAAATGGTAAGTTGGACACCTGCCAAATAATAGGATGTACTTTCTGCTGCAGGTTCAGCGACAGAGCTGCCATAGCACAAGTGTCTGTTCTAACGGCGACTCGTCTAAATAAATTAAAAAAATAATTATTTTATATTAATTTCAAGAAGCAGTTGCTTTTACCCAGAAAATGTTTTCAAAGGCTCATACAAAATCAATAAGGTAGGTTCATAATAGCCATACAAAAACTGTATATCAATGATATTATCCACTTTTTCTATAAATTCTTTTAATAAGATCATGTAGGAAGACAATATAGGGGACTTGGAACCATATGAGCTGGAGATCATTGGTTTAATATCAGAAGAATCATTTTCTTCTATTGTATTTTCTCTTCTAAATGGCAAGACAACAAGCTTTCTCCCAAAAACTGTCATTACAGCACATCGGTTTTCAGGATCTGCTCTTACTATTGGTACATGAACATGATGAGTCCAACCATCCTAAATTTTCAAAAATTAATACAAAAGAAATGGACAACATTTGATTTTACATACTTTCATTTCTTCTTCTTCAAAATAATGTAAACTAAGGGTTTTCAAATCGTTAGTTTCTGGATCATATTCAACTACAGATAGTTTTGCATCTTCAAAGGCTAAAAGCAATGCATCCCTTGGAGAGTTTGCAAGATTAACAGTTTCCATTGAAATTACATTCCCAAATAGGCTGTACTGTCCAATGCATTCTAACTTACATTTTGGAGGTCTGGTTTCTAAAAAATATAACTTGATACTGTCCTAATACTACATTACATTAAAGGCATTACCTGAAAATCTTTCTTGAATGCGAATCCTGGGATCTACATCAGGGACTAATTTGTACGCTTTTACTATATTTGCTCCAGCTGTAACTAACGTTTTTTCGGCTTTAGAAAAGAAATGACAACTCAGACAATGTTCTACGCCAGTGGCAGGATGAATTTGTTTACATACAGAAAACATCTTTAACTTTTTGTTAGCAAAGTAAACTGGAGAAGAGAAACATGCAAACTATTTAGCACAATTCAGCACATGCCATTGTATATCCTAAACATAATAGCGGTCGAACTTGTGTTAAAAAAGACTAAAAACTCGACTAACTTGTATACAAATTACAAATAACCTTTGTAAATTAAGTGAGGTTATGTAAGGTTCATAGGTAAAGATAATAACCATAGGCGTACTATAGATATAGATTAAACTATAGATAAGACCATAGGACAAGACTAATAATATTGCTATTATCTCCATTTAGCCATTATAATTAAGTACAAATATTATTGAAAATTATAAATAATTTGAAATTACAGCATCATTTTGGTATAATAATGAATGTATAATCATTGAGCACAATACACACTAGTTTTATAAAAAGTAAAAATCATAGTTTACCAGATTTACCCAAATAGGGGACCTAAACCAAACCTTGTAGAACAAAATAATACTAAATTAAAAAGTAAAGAAAAATGGAGGTGCAGATAGTGAAGCGCTTGTAATTTTAGGTGAAAAATGTGCTTTCAAGGGCTGCATGGGATTTTGGTATGTTAATAAAACTTCTTTTATTTTTTTTAATTATAACTGAGCACATATTATACACATATGATAAAAATATACACAAGAAACAGTATGATATAAAGTACGAAAATGCATATACACATACATGCATACATGAATACAATTACCATGCGTTTTGGCTTCTTATTACGCATAATGAAAATGTTTCAAACAAGATAATTTTTCAATTATTTATCGTTACTGACTTATATTTTTTCTTAAATGGTCAATCCTAATTTCTTTTGCGATCAAATAATTCATTAATGGCGTCAAATACCCTTTGGGCTATTTTTGCTATGGTTATGTTTAAATTATTATATATAGAAGTTACCTAAAAAGTTAATTGCAATTTGCATTATAAACCTATTTATCGAACAAATCGAACTTCTTATGTTCCGGTATTAGTTCTACAACTTTTCAAACTTCGGAAATGATTATGATTACCCATTGGTACCAGTTTGGTTATTCGTATGAATAAATGCGATAATTCCAACGTAGTTACTTAGATAACACCTAAGTAGACTAACAAATTGTCTCCAATCTCGCATGTTTTTGGCTTAGTAGCACTGAATGCTAAGTGAGAAAGGTTGTACGTGAGTTGAGAACTTTGGCCCCTGTGTCAGCTAGTACGTGTTATGACAAGTGACTACGAAATTGTGTAGTCCCTAAAATTTGCCCGCTTGGCATTTCACTAGACGTTTAAACAATTTAGAACTGATTTCAGAATGAAGTGACCTGAATATTTATTAGATATCTGCATACATATGCCGGGGCTGCCACACTTGTGGAAAAGTTAACATACAAACGTACATATATACATGTTTATATATAGGTTTTCTTTTCAAAAATCCAAACATTTAGACGATTTAGAGGAACTCAAAACTCAAAAATGCCCGGCCCTTTCAATAGTCCCTTGTGCTCGCATTTCTATTCTAGAACAGTTTCGTTAAAATTGTCTCTGAGGAGTTTTCGTTTCTTATTTAAGAGTAGAGTTCAGTGTTTGGGTAAGGTTGTCGGATTGGCGTGAATCCCCCGCGGCTTTCCCGGTAATTGACTCATTTTGAATGCAGTGGGATGTCTAATCACATTAGAGCAGGTCATTTCCTTTACAATAGATCCAATCACGTACCTAAACGTGAAGACTTTCTATTAAATCGAATTGGCAACTTTAAGAGGACTCGATGTATTATCCTTCGAAATCCTTCGTCACCTAGTGAGGGAAAGGAGAAAGAGAACTTTGTTAAACAAATATGTATAGTAGAACCTCGGCAATTCTCCAAAACCTCGAAACGAGGAACGCTATTTAAAAATAAAAGGGTTTTACTATATGTTTTACTATTTAATTTAATATTTTCTAAGGTCTTCTTTAAAAATTGCCCTAATACTTTTAATCCTGTGCTTTAATTCCGAATTAAACTTAGTTTAAAGCGATTAATTTCAATTTTTAAACAAAATGCAATGGCCGTTAACAGCAACAATCGAAAATCAAAATGGCCGACTACAGCAACAATGCGACAATTCAAAATTAATAATGGCCGACATCAGTAACAATGCGGCAACAAATAGAATAACAGTAATGGCCGAATGACTGGACAATGGCCGACCTATGACTGTGTTGAGCGGGTTATTCAAATGTTTAAACAAAACGCAATTGATATAAGGACTATATGGACTGTTTTGCGTTTTCTAACATAAAATGAATTATTGTAAATAAAATGAATGCATGTTAACTGATAAGTGTGAGGCGGTCAATAGGTTGTAGGTTCTTTTATAAAAAATGCGTTTACATATAGAGTACTTTTTGAAGTTCTAGTTTTGAAGACGATATATATATTTTTTGTTTCGTCAGTGTGACTATTATATTGTCGATGGTTCTGTTTGGAACGATTTAATGACCATTTTATTCTTCATTTCGAACTGTATGTGAAATAAAAGTGTTTGCGGTCAACTGGCGTATTTCGGAACAAATGGCTCGTAAACAAGTGACTTTTATTGCCAAAGTCTATTTCATTTTATCAGTTTCTGTTATTGCCAATATTTTTCTGGTTAACAATTTATGGTCATCCATACGCGCCTGATAAAAATTAAATTGAACTTTCAATTGTTTTGTGCATGGATAGTAATCTACTATGTGGCATTAAACCTAAAACTTATTTTATATCTTCTACATACGTAGAGCTTTCTGTTTTATGCGCTTGCTACAGGGTGTTTCATAAACATGCGGCACAAATTCCACGGGTGATTCCTCAGGTATTTTTATGAGGAAACGTTCCTATAAATATTTGTCCTAAGGGAGTTACGCCCTTTCAAACCGATCACCCTAGTTTTTGTTTGGGGAACACCCTGTATAGTAATGTCGTGAAAGTTTTATTTTACTTTACGGTTTTTAATTTGTATATATATTCGAAATTGTTTCAAATAAAATTTTGACATTAAAATTGATTGTGTTTACCATGTTGACGCATTGAAAGAAAACATAATTGAATTGGAAACGAACAAGTGAAAGTATGGGTTGTCAAATGAGAGGAAAGAAGACAGACGAGTCAAAGAGGACGGATGGGGGATGATAATAAATCTGCCATTTCTCTTTAGTACCTTCGTTAATGCTTTAGAAATTTAATTTTAACTTAAATAAGTTCAGACTCACTCTGAATTCATTAAACTTTCGCCAAGTTTGGCTTTAATGAGCTTCCTCGAAAAAAATAGGACGCTTAATGAATACGTGAAAATTTTATTAGTTAGGGGTCCGTTTTTTATTGTTTACACTAGGTAAGAGTTTTTCTCTAACTTATGCCTTGCAACGATCGCGTTTTTCTTGTTAGAAGAACCAGAAATATCTATACTCGAAACTAAAGGAAAATAGGAAAGTTGTATTAGGTACAACATGGTGAAAATTACATTTTTTCTTCGAAAATACCGCTTAGGAATAGGTCATTAATTTTAGTTTTTCTGTCGTGTAAGTTTTGTTCGTACTTATGACAAAAATGGCCGACCTACGACCACATTTAGCGCGTTACCCCAATGACATCGTGCGTCTAATACGTAAAATAGAAACTTAATATACTTTTATGATAACTGAGGGCATCACCATGTAGTTACTAATGGGAAAATATATAAAGTCATGCTGTTTGGTCCATCGCAGGGTTTATTTTAATTATTATCCTAGGCGAGTGAATCAATTTCGTACTTTTTGACAGGAACGGATTCAGAAAAGATGAGGATACTGTGGATAGAGAAGGTTAGGAGTGAATAATAAGAAAGAATAGGAGAACAGAGGACTCTTTGGAAGTCAATAAGAAAAAGGCGAGATAGGTTCTGAGGCATGAAGGTCTAATCAGAGAAGTATTAGAGGCAAAAAGGGGAGTTAGGAGGGGTAGAGGTAGACCTATATTAAATTACTATTCGCAAATAGTTAAGGATGTGAGTTGTTCTAACTTTAGGGAAATGCAAAGATTAGCTCAGGATAGGAAAGAGTGGAGGTGCGTGTCTAACCCGTCTTAGGACTGACGACCTTATGATGATGATAAAACAAAATCTAATATTCGAACATATGACTGAGTGTCCTATTCCCCCTCTAGTTATTTTTCTTTCAAAAAGATAACGGACTTCGTCCCTATCATAAAATTAGGAAATTTTACTTGCGTCTTGGTAAAAATTATTACAAACTGATACAAATATCAAGAAATTTGTACTTCTAACATCACAATTTAAAGGGATGGGTGTCCTATCGTCCCCCTAGATCCGCCTTTGCTCTTCGAAAGTTAAACATTACAGTTGTTTTGCTACAGTTATATGTATAAAATGAGTGGAGTCGTCTATAAAATGTTTCCAGAAGGCACGATATTCAACTACAACTAGGCAGAGAGCAATTCGCAAATTCGCTGCCACTTTAGACCGTCGAGGCCGGCCAGCGAAGTAGTAATTTATGAGTGCACTTTCCTAATATTGGTTCAATTTAACCGCTCCTTCCGTTTGCCTCCGCATCCTTTAACATTAAACTCAATCTAGCGTCCGTTTCCAACCCTTGCTTGGTCTCGAACAGCAGTAATACTAGTACTAGCTATATAGTAATAGTTGCATACCGAACAAGTTTAATTCACTTAACGCAGAGACGAAAGCCGTTCTTAATGAAGCTGAACTTGTACAAATAGCACTCGCACTACTTCTACCTACTCTGTAACTCTGGTTACATGTAAACCGTACCGTTTTTAAAGGAATTATTCTGGAAAATCGTCTTACCGCGATTACATAACACAAAAAGTTTCCATTAATAAAATGGAAACTTTTAGAGATTATTTGCAGTTAAGGTCAAAAAATGAAGTAATTTGAAGCAAATATTTTTAGTCAATTGAACAGTGCCAACATTTACACACATGTGGATGCATAAAAGCAAAGCCAGTCGACTCGCACCCTTTTTAATTAACGTAAAGCGCCCAGGCCTTTAGTCTGATATTTGGTACATGTCCATTTGGTCGGTGTTCTTTAGAAACTGTCTACGGTGTGCTGATGAGATCCAGAGAAATCAGAATCGTGATCGTCTGACGGTTTTGGCAGATTACCGATCAACATGCTTTGTTATGTATATACGTAATAGATGAAAATATTGGCGGTTAATTTTCTTTTATTAAATTTTATTCAATGATTAAATTACGGAAGATGTAAAAAGTGAAAGGTCACATTCTTAAGCTTAGATTTTAGATTCTATTAATTAAACTGTTTGGTGTTTCCTTTAACACGTTTAAGTTGCAACATTTTCCGAAGATAATCTTCTAGCTGAATTTAATAGGTGTAGATATATGCTTTCAACTATGTATATCGGTTGCAGCAGGACTTAATGCCCAATTGCAGTTGACGAGAAAAGCACAAAAGTTATTTTTGCATCGAATCCTTGATAGAGCTCTTACGTTTGTTGAATACACAATGAAATCTCTTGGTATTAGAAGAGATTTAAAGCTTATGGGGCCGAGGTCAATTCTCAACCGTAA